TTCAATTCCTTCATGGGATGTTTATCTATCAGAGCTGTGGTCCTAGAATTTAAAATAAACTGAGGGAAAGAATAATTGAAGAAAGGTACGTGTGTGTTTGCGAGAGAGAGACAGAGAGAGAGACACAAAGAGGGGGGGGAGGAGGAGGGAGGGAGGGAGGGAGGGAGGGAGGGAGAAAGAAAAAGAGGAGAAAGAGAAAGAGAGAGGGGGGAGTTTGTTAGGTCAAACATTTAGGTCCTCCTTCAATGCTCTAAAGCCTAAGCCTTGACTGACAGGGAAGGCCAAGGCTCTTACCACTTAGTCACCATGGTTGTATAATGTGAACCAAAAATTAGAAATTAACCCAAATCCTCATTCCATTTTGAGGTAAATTTTTATTCCTGGAGAACAGGGATCAGTAGAAATGTAACAGGAATCCTTCAACTTGACACCCCACTGACAAGACAATTGAAACATAGGAGACATAAACCAGTTTTCTTTGCATTGAAAGTAAGCTGAAGTAGTTAAGGTATGAAGGTTTAAGTGGGATAATTTTCTCAGAGGAAAAGAAGTGCTCATCTTTGAATTTTTAAGAACAGTGGAACAGAGTGGTGCATGCCTGTGAGCCCAGAACTAGTCAGTCTGCTGCAAGCAGGAAGCAGGAAGATCAGCAGTTTGAGTCCAGCCTGAACTATAGAGAAAGACTGAGTCCAAAAGAAGAAAACCTGCAAACTGGTGGTTCATGCCTGTAATCCTAGCTCCTCAGGAGGCTGATATCTGAGCATGAACGGTCACAGCCAGCCCAGGCAAGGAAAGTACTTTTTTGTTATCTGGGTTTTTTGTTTGTTCATTTGTCAGTCATGGGGCCTGAACCCAGGGCCTGGGCACTGTCTCTGAGCTTTTCTGTTCAAGACTAACACTCTACCACTTTGTGCCACAGCTCCAGTTTCAGTTTGAGCCACAACTCCACTTCTGGTTTTCTGGTGGTTAATTGGAGATAGGAGTTTCACAGACTTTCCTGCTGAGGTTAGAGCTGAACCATGATCCTCAGATCTCAACCTCCTGAGTAGCTAAGATTACAGGTATGAGACAACAGTACCCAGTCTGTTCAACTCTTTCACCCATTTTGAAATCAAGGTGTTTGATTTTTATTTATTTATTTATTTATTGTTGGTTGTGGGGTCTGAACTCTGGGCCTGGGCGCTGTCCCTCAGCTCTTCAGCTCAAGGCTAGCGCTCTACCACTTGAACCACAGCACCACTTCCGGCTTTTTTCTGCTTATGTGGTGTTGAGGCATCAAACCCAGGGCTTCATGCATGCAAGGCAAGCACTCTACCACTGAGCCAACTGCCCAGCCCCTGCCCTGCATCTTGTATATACACTTTTCTAACTTGAGGAGAGGAAGGGAAATAACAAAATGCTGAAATAAGGATACAAAATGACCCATTGTAACAACGAGATGTACAAGACACTATGTTGAAAAAGAACTTTACAACTTGGGTGGGGGAGGGAGAAGTTGGGGATGATAGGGAGAAAAGAAGGGGGTAACAATGCTTGATAGAAAATGTACTCATTACCTTGCTCATGTAACTGTAACCCTTCTGTACAGTATCTTAATAATAAAAAGTATTTTTAAGAACCTTTAAAAAAAAAAAAAGAATGTAGATACCAAGCCCAGAGAAACGTTATCACTTAGAGGGGCCCAAAGTACTTTTACATTTATGGACCCCTTCCTCTATTAAAAAATTAAAGACAGGGAGCTGGGAAGGTGGCTCAGTGGTAGAGCACTTGCCTTGCATGCATGAGGCCCTAGGTTTGATTCCTCAGCACCACATAAGAAAAAAGCCGGAAGTAGCGCTGTGGCTCAAGTAGTAGAGCGCTAGCCTTGAGCTGAAGAGCTCAGGGACAGCACCCAGGCCCAGAGTTCAGGCCCCACAACTGGACCCAACAAAAAAAAAAAAGAAAAAAAATAAAGACAGGCACCAGTGGCTCATACCTGTAATCTTAGCTATTCAGGAAGCTGAAATCTGAGGGCTGTGGTTCAAAGTCAGCTTGTGGGGAGGGGCTGGGAATGTGGTTTAGTGGTAGAATGCTTGCCTAGCATGTTTGAAGCCCTGGGTTCAATTTCTCAGTACCACATAAACAGATAAAGCCAGAAGTGGCACTGTGGCTCAAGTGGTAGAGTGCTAGCCTTGAGCTGAAGAGCTGAGGGACAGTGCCCAGGCCCAGAGTTCAAGCCCCATGATCAAAAAAAAAAAAGCTCAAGAACCTCGAGCTCAGGACCTGAGCTCAAGCCTGAGGACCAACACCAAAAACAACAACAAAAAAACTGTTTAAATTGTATTTTATAACCAGATTGGTATGATGATGAATATTATCCAGATTGGGCTTATTGTATATTTTGTTATTGTATTGTATGTATGTTTTTATTTACTTGTTTGTTGGTTTGTTTTTGAGGTTAGGTCTTACTATGTAGCCCAAGCTATCTTTAATTCCGGGACTAATTGAATTCCTCCACCTCTGTTTTTCGAGGAGCTAGAATTCAAAAGCAGGTCTCTATAGTGAGACATTGTTAAAATAAAGATTTTAAGAAAAATTTAAATCACGACATTTTTGAGGGCCATGGGCCCTATATATACAGTGTGCCTCATGGGTACATTGGTCCTGCCAGCATCAGCAATAGAGGAGCTAAAAGCAGAGCTAAAAGAGAATGTGGTTCAGGGGAAGAGCACTTGCTTAGCATCGTGAGACCCTAAGTTCCACCCCCATTTCTGAAAAATAAATAAGTAAAAGAGGAAGGAAGGGAATTCCGTTGAAAGCCATGAGAAAATCTAGAAGGTAATGAAGGATGGGCTAGAATCTGAAATGTGTCAACTTCTGAGATGTGGCAGCAGTATAGCTGTGAAGCAGTTAGCACTCTCTCAGGTGTCACTAAGAGTCCTCACGCTCAGCTCACCAACCCAATAACTAAGAAGTCCAGAGCACGGCAGGACCTGAGATTGGCTGAGTTCATGACTCACCAGTGTCTTCCATCCAGGTTCCAATTTTCAGACTTAAGGCTTAACCACTCCTTTGACCACAGCAGTAGCCTCATCTGGGCTGCTTCCCACCTCAGACAGCATCAGCTCAATGTGAGCAGAAATAGTGGTGGGGAGTGGGGGGAGCAACATCCCATCTTATTTAAATCCAGGGAGATGGCCAAGGAACTTTAGTTCTTCCTTATAATTGAGCCAGCTTCAGTCACCTACCCAACCTGGATGACACCCATGCTAGCAAAGCAAAGCCCATGCCAAAGTGGGGTACAGTATGTGCCAGAACAAAATCAGAGAATACGGAGTGTGGGAGAGCCCATTTCACAGCCCTTGAGACCTTTCGGCAAGGTTAAAAGGGGGGAGGATCTTTTAAAAATCCAAGGGAAAATCTCAATGACAGGATTGTGCAGCACATCTCCCCACCCCTCCCCTTCAGGGGTGAAATGGGGGAAGATGTTGATGGGCCCTACCTCAAACATTAATGAAAGAGAATGCCACAGGGATTCTCAGAGACCTTCATTTGCTGTGGGGAGAGGGGTCACAAATCCTCACAGTTGAGTGGCACAGGCTGGGATGGTGTCCAGTGATGTTCTTACCTGACTCATGTAAATGTAACCCCTCTTTATATCTCCTCTAAAATAACAATAAAGTAATTTTTTTAACTTAGAGGCTCTCTAATGATGTGATATCATCAACTCACATTGTAAAATACAAGGTCAACATTCAGCCTTCATCCTAGTTAGCAGAACATTGTATGAAAATAGTTCTGCATCTCTACCTGGCCATTTTTTTTCTGCCAGTCCTGGTGCTTGAACTCAGAGCCTGCAGACTGTCCCTGAATTCTTTTGCTCAAGGCTAGCACTCTACCACTTGACCCACAGCACCACTCCAGTTTTTTCTGTTTACGTGGTACTGAAGAATTGAACCCAGGGCTTCATGCATCTTAGGTAAGCATTCTACCACTAAGCCACGTTTCCAGTCCATCCACCTGACTTCCTAAGTCATCATTTCTCTTTCCTCCACATCCAATTCTCCTCTGTCTCTTTCACCAGGCTCTAGAGCTTCGAAGCTCCCCACCCCTTCATAAAACAGTACTGAAGGGACCAGTACTTGCTTCTCTCATTATCTATATCTACATACATTCCCTCGTAGGTTTATGCAACCTCCAAGTGTTTATCTCCAGCCCAGAACTTTCTCCTGGATTTAAGGCTCATATATGCACTGCCATTCTAATGTCTCCACTTGGGTATCTAGTAATAGATATTTCAAAATAATCTGGGTTTAGGGATTGTTATCTTTTTCTTTGCCTCCCAAAATCTACCTGAACCTTGTTTCCCGAGCTCAAGTCATAGATAGCAACTTCATCTTTCCTTTTGTTTAACCAAAAAAGTTGGAATCAAGCTGGGCGCTGGTGGCTCAGGCCTGTAATCCTAGCTATTCTGGAGAGTGAGATCTGAGGATCACAGTTTGAAGACAGCCCAGGCAGAAAATTCTCATGAGACTCTTATCTTCAATTAACCCTCAAAAACTGAAAATGGAGCCATGGCTCCAAGTAGTAGAGCACCAGCATTGAGCAAAAGAGCTCAGGGACAGTGCCCAGGCCCTAGGTTCAAGCCCCACAAATGTAAAAAAAGAAAAGTTGGACCAACCCCACTTTTTGCATTTGATACTTTATAGCCAATCCATCAGCCAATGTATTTTGGTCATTGGTATCATTTTCAGTAAATATCCAGACCACTCCTCACCACCTCCTCCATGTTTCTCCTGGATTAATTTGTCTTCCCTGTGTGAATCGCCATGGGAAGTCACCCAACCAGAGGCTGCCAGAATATGCTTTTTAAGATGTGAGCTAATGTCATTCTCCTCACAGAAGAGATGGTTTTCCATCTCTTTTATAGCAACAACCACAGTCCTAACAGTGACCTAGCAAAGTAGCAATAAAACTAAATAAATAAGCAATACCTCTGAAAAAATATAAATACATGCAAATTAGCTCAATTTATTTTTATTATGACAATGTATGATGGTAAAATTCAAACAAAAAAGCTTTTCTTCAGGATCCCCAGCAATGGCTTCTACAACACATTTGTACTGGCCCTAGAACAAGGAATAAAAAATACAAGTAAATTTTTTAAATGCTACTGTTACTGTTTTAACAACCTTTTATAAGAACTTTGTATTAACAGTAGAATGCCATTTGGGTTGGGTATTTTCTTAAAATGATGAGGATCATGCATATAAGACAAACGTTCTACTACTGGGCTACACCAATAACTCATTTTCTCAGTATTACAACGAGATAGGATTTTGATTGCTTTTAATTACATGAACAGAGAATGTAGATATATCCTAATTTAAGATGAAGATTTTTACAATTTTTGAAAAGTGACTAATAAGGTTTTCAAATATTATTATTTGTCGGGCTGGGAAAGTGGCTCAGTGGTAGAGCGCTTGCCTTGCATGCTTGAGGCCCTGGATTTGATTCCTCAGCACCACATAAGCAAAAAGAAAAAAGCCGGAAGTGACTTGTAACTCAAGTGGTAGAGCGCTAGCCTTGAGCTGAAGAGCTGAGGGACAGCGCCCAGGCCCAGAGTTCAGGCGCCACGACCAGACCCAAAAAACAAAACAAAACAAAATAAATATTATTATTTGTGATGACGTAATAACTAAAGAATATCATTACTATACTTTATTTTAAAATAGTCATCTAAGTGGAATATATAGATTTTGCTGGTAAATATATGATGCAAATATTCAAAATTACATGGGTATTCACTGAAACAGGATGTTTTTTGGTTTCAGTTCTGGTTTTGGCTTTTTCTAGTGCCAGAGCTTGAACTCAGGTCCTGGGCACTGTCCCTGAGTTTCTTTTGCTCAAAGCTAGCACTTTACTACTTGAGCCACAGTGTTATTTCTGGCTTTTTCTGTTTATGTGGTACTGAGGAATTGAACCCAGGGCGTCATGAATGCTAGGCAAGCACTCTACCACTTAACCACATTTGCAGCCCCAGGAGTTATTTTCACAACGACTGTATATCCAAGCTAAGTCCCCAAGAAAAATCTTAAAGAGAAATAAAATTATGATTTATGTGATTTTTATCCTGCTAAAGAATTTGCACAGGGCTGGGAATGTGGCTTAATGGTAAAGTGTTTATCTAGCATGCATGAAGCCCTGCGTTCAGTTCCTCAGTACCACATAAACAGAAAGAGCCAGAAGTGGTACTATGGCTCAAGTGGTAGAGAGCACTAACCTTGAGCAAAAGAAGCTTAGGGACAGTGCCCAGGCCCTGAGTTCAAGCCCAGGACTAGGAAAAAAAACACATAGTATACTACATGGATAGTTACAGAGAATTACTGACTTATGCACCATGAACAATTGATAAACAATAATATTCCCTTACGCTTAGCCTTGTATGTTAGAGGAAAACAATGAAATGAAAGATATCTTATATGCAGTTTTTTCTATATTCTACAGATTGAAGAAGTATCAAAATACCTAAAATCAAAATTCTTGAACATCCTAATTTGAATAGCTATTTTTAGAATTCATGAATTGCCTGTTTCAAATTCTGAACACATCTGTTCAGAAGGTTAGGAAAGTATATATAACATAACTTGTGAACAATACCTTAGGAAATTGTATTCCCTTGAAGGAAAATGGCACAGATGTATTCACTGTCTCTGCAAACAACATACAAAATACAAAGATTACTGGTCATGATTAGGTGATTGAGGGGGTAGTATGTTGTGTGCCTCTATGGAATACAGACAACTGACAGAGGCCATTCCAAACCAGCCTGTAGGGAAATAATAAATCCTGTACACGGGCTGGGAACGTGGCTTAGTGGTAGAGTGCTTGCCTAGCATGCATGAAGCCCTCAGTTCGATTTCTCGGTACCACATACAAAGAAAAAGCCAGAAGTGAGGCTATGGCTCAAGTGGTAGAGTGCTAGCATTGAGCAAAAGAAGCTCAGGGATAGTGCCCAGGCTCTGAGTTCAAGCCCCAGGATTGGCAATAAATAAATAAACAAACAAACAAATAATAAATCCTGGTCTACTCCTGGCTACTATCATCCTGTGGCTTCCTCTCTCCTTCCTCCCCTTCCTGATTCTCCCTACTAGCCTCTCACTATATTCTTATCTCATACTTCCATGTACTGTCTGTCCACAGGTGGGGTCAATCTCCACATACTCTCCTATTGAACAATGCATGGATCTACCAGACCAAGATAGGTAGCTAAGGTCCTTGCAGACAATCTGTGCCTGACCCTCCCTACACTCAGACTCCACCAGAGATTCCACTCACTGGATGGGCCTGGGAACAGAAATGCCAGGCAAGATCCAAGATGCCAGCAGGGGAATGGACAGCAAAGAACAAAGAGTCCATCCTGTAGGGAAGCACATATTCCATTGTCTCATCAGACTTCACTTATTAAAGCACACACTTAAAGATAGAGTTAAGAAGAATTCCAAGTCTATAATCACAAAACACTCAGCTCTCTGGTAATGAAGCCCACCCTATCATATTAGTGGGGCATTTGACAGGATATTCAATGCGTCTTGTGGATTTGAGAAAGAAATTGAGATGAACTGCTAGATTTCAACCTTAGAGGCTGCTGAACTGTTTAACAGCTCAGATGAGGAGCTCCACTCTTGCCTGCTAAGTAGACCTTTTTGTTAAGGGTTTGTCTGTCTTGGAAGGTCCTACTTAGTCTTACTTCTCAGTCTCTGGTGGGGAGTTAAAGAAGAGAAAAACAAGGCAAAGACAAGAAAATGAAGGACATAAGCCCTTCTCGGGACCTATAACCCAAGATACTGATTATGGGGCTGGCAGACTTACTAAATTTAAGATGCCTTGAACTAACCACTTATCTATGCATAAATGCAGTTTTTAAAGGAATGGGGGCGTGAAAAGTGGTAGGATTGTAGGTAATTTTTATTTTATTTTGCTCATCCATATTTTCTCAATATTATATACTAAAGATATATGACTTTCATAATAATAATAAAATAAAAAGGAATGTTATGTTTAAAGGATATTTTAATAACTTTCCTTTTATTATTTGCTATTATATATATTCATTCAAGGGTCTCTTGTTATGTTAAAACTTCTTAAATCAGCTAGGCACTGGTAGCTCATGCCTATAATCTCATACCTACTCTGGAGGCTGAAATTTGAGGATCCCAGTTTGAAAGCCAGCCCAGACAAGAAAGTCTGTGAGACTCTATGTTTACTAAACTACCAAAAGAGCCAGAAGTGGAGCTGTGTCTGAAGTTGTTGAGCACTAACCTTGAGCAAAAGAAGCTCAGGCCCTAGAACCAGCACAAAAACAAAACAAAAAAAAACCTTTTTTTTTTTTGTTGTCAGTCTTGGGGCTTGAACTTTGGGCCTGGACATTGTCCCTGAAATCTTTAGCTCAAGGCAAGCACTCTACTACTGAGCCACAGTCCCACTTTCAGTTTTCTGATTGTTTTATTGGAAATAAGAGTCTCACAGACTTTCCTGCCTGGGCTGGCTTTGAACTATAATCCTTAGATCTCAGCCTCCTGAGTAGCTAGGATTACAGGCATGAGCCACCAGTTCAAGCCCCAGGACTGGCAAAAAAAAAAAAAAAACCTTTCTTAAACCAGACACCAGTGGTTCATGCCTGTAATCCTAGCTACTCTGGAGGCTGAGATCTGAGGATCACTGTTGGAAGCCAGCCTGGGCAGGAAAATCCATGAGCCCAATTAACCTGCTAAATGCTGGAAGTAGCACTGTGGCTCAAGTGGTAGAACACAGGAAAATGCCCTAAGACCTAGACCCACATACCAAGCTGCCAAGTGGAATGGAACATTCCAAAATTACATCGAGTTAAATATCCCCAAACCAGAACCTGAAACATTTCCCTTTTATGTACATTATCTCAGATATTGGTACTTTGCGCTATCCAGTCAACAGCCCTCAAGTGGCTCTTGATTTCACCTAATCTCATATCTGACACATCAAAAGAGCCAGTACTGTATATCTTGCTAATTCTGTCTCCCAATATGCTCTTGTAGCTCCTCTCTTTTGTGACCAGAGCTGCCATCTTGGTTTCGCACGCACAATCTCTCACAGGCTTTCTGGCTGCTCTTCCTTCCACCCAACTTTCCTGCCTCAGTCAGTCCCCACCTCCTTCCATACAGATACTAGTTGTTCACAAAAAACGGAAACCTCAGTGGGCGAATATTGTGGGCATGACATCAATGCTCATCACTGTCCCCTTTTCTCAGCTCTTCACCAGCAATTTTCCATAAGCACATTCTGCTCCAACTACCAAAGAGGGAGAGAAAAACCTACTCTCCAAATAAACCCTGCTCTTTCACTGGATACATTTGCATATGCTGTTTCTTCTCCAGGGACAATCCTCCCCCTCACTTTCTGAGTAGAATACTCCATGAAGACTGATAGATAGGAGTCTCTCTATCACAGCTAGCTGATAACTGTGTATCTAAAACTATGTAGCTAAAACTAATAGCGCATAATTCTACTAGGAAATTCTATAACTTATTAGGAACTTATGATACTTCTTTGTAGATTTGTTTTCCATGACTGTCTTCCTAGTACAGAATAACTTTTGAGGAAGGAGGCTTTACAATCCAAGTTTGAATTCCCAGAACTTAAATCATGACTTGCTCAAATTAGACTCAAACTTATTTCTACTCTTTTTTTCTTTTTTTTTTATTTAGCTCTGAGACCAGACTTGAACGTGGTACCTGTTGCTTTCGCTCATTCACTAACACTACCAAATGAGCCATGCCTCCCATCCCTCAAATTTATTTCTAGAAGGAAGGACTGGAGAGAAAAGAAATCAGGCAGGCTGGGTTGATTCTGACACATCTTAGATCACAATTAAGTGAAACTTTTAGAATTATGTTAATATAACCCCACAGAGATATGTGAAATCATTGTAAAACAGACGTTTTTATTTAAAAAAAAAAAAAGTAGCTGATGAGAGAAAGCATTCACAGTAGAAAAGTCTTGCATTTGGAGTGGTGGGAAATGAGGACACTTATAATTCTCCAGATGACCACAGGTAAGAACTACAAATACGGGCTGGGAAGGTGGCTCAGTGGCAGAGTGCTTGCCTTGCATGACTCAGGCCCTGGGTTCGATTCCTCAGCACCACATAAGCAAAAAGAAAAAAGCCAGAAGTGGCGCTGTGGCTCAAGTGGTAGAGCACTACCCTTGAGCTGAAGAGCTGAGGGACAGCGCCCAGGCCCAGAGTTCAAGCCCCATGACCGGACCCAAAAAATAAAAAAAGAACTACAAATACTGGTTTCCTCAATTGTAAAATTGACAGATCAGCAAAATTAAGAATAAAAAGATTTGGCTGGGCACAGGTATCTCACGCCTATAATCCTTGCTACTCAGAAGACTGAGATCTGAGGTTCATGATTCAAAGCCAGCTAACAAAGTCCATGAGATTTTTAATTCCAATTAATTATCAAAAAGTCAGAAATGGATCTGTGTCTCAAAATGGTAGAGCACTATCCTTGAGCACAAAGTTCAAGGACAGCAAGGCATTGGTGGCTCACACCTGTAATCCTAGCTATTCAGGAGGCTGAGATCTGAGAATCACGGTTCAAAGCCAGCTCAGGCAGAAAAGTATGTGAGACTCCTATCTCCAATAAATCACTCAGAAAACCAGAAGTTATGCTGTGGCTCAAGTGGTAGAGTGTTAGCCTTGAGCTGAAGAGCTGAGGAATAGTGCCCAGGCCCAAAGTTCAAGCCCCATGACCAAAAAACAAAAAACAAAACAAAAAAAAAAACAGGGTAATGCTTAAAAAAAAAAAAAATTCAGCCAGGCACCAGTGGCTCATGCCTGCAATGCTAGAAATCTGAGGATCAGAGTTTAAAACTAGCCCAGGCAGACAAATCCAAGAGATTCTTGTCTCCAATTAACCAGCAAAAACTAGAACAGGACATGTGGCTCAAGTGGTAGAGCACTAGCTTAGGGACAGCACTCAGGGCTTGAATTCAAGCCCCCATATGGACACACACACACACACACATACACAAGGACATCTAGAACCAAGGGTAAAATGTAAAGTACTCATCTGAAGGAGGCAAAAACTTTAACATCTGCACAACCATGCCAAAACAAATTGTAAAATGCTTAAGCTATTAAAACTGTAGGTGGACATGAAAAATTATTACCAAAAAAGCAATTTTCAGTGCACTTAATTTTCAAACTTGCTCATAAAATTTTTTTTATTTTACCAATAAAATAAACTGAATGTTTACTTACCTCCTTTCAGAGCTCTGCAAAAAGAATACTCATCATCAGATCCTCTACAAATAACTTCAGTGCGTTTGGGCAATTCCATGGAGTTGACAGATAAATAGATATTGAGATACAACTTTTTTAAGTCTCTCCCTTAGAAAGAAAAATTCCATTCGTCACTCAAGAGATTCTTCTACACAAAATATTTATTGTAGGCTAAATCATTGTCCTGTACTTTCCCTACATTATTTCGTTGTCACAACTATCCATGAGGTCGGTAGCATTATTCCTGCTCTGCAGATGAGAAAACTGAACTGCCGCGAGGATAACTGTGGACAAATAGAATACTCCACCGTCAGAATTGGATATGACAGCTTCAAACTTGATGAAGAAAAATACCAAAGTCACAAAAATTTTAGTTCTAGTTAGTTCTTCTAGAAAACTCCAAGAAAACAAAGAGGGGTTTAGTTTGTTTGTTTGTTTTGTTTTTGTTTTCTGCAATTCCTGGGGCTTGAACTCAGGATCTGGGCACTGCTCTTGAGCCTCTGTGCTCAAGGCTAGCACTCTACCACTTGAGCCACAGCACCACATCCATCTTTTTCTGTTTATGTGCTACTGAGGAATTGAACCCAGGGCATGCTAGCAAGAACTGTACCACTAAGCCATATTCCCAGCCCAAAAGCAAAGAGTTTTTATTTTTAAAAAAATTAAGAATAGGGGCTGGGAAGATGGCTCAGTGGTAGAATGCTTGCCTTGCATGCATGAGGCCCTGGGTTCGATTCCTCAGCACCACATAAAGCAAAAAGAAAAAAAGCCAGAAGTGGCACTGTGGCTCAAGTGGTAGAGCACTAGCCTTGAGCTGAAGAGCTGAGGGACAGTGCCCTAGCCCAGAGTTCAAGCCCCACGACTGGACCCCAAAAAAAAATTAAGAATAAAATTGAATTGAAAGCTATATAAAATATATAGCTTTAAAAGTGAACAAGTGAGGGGCTGGGAAGGTGGCTCAGTGGTAGAGCGCTTGCCTTGCATGCCTGAGGCCCTGGGTTCAATTCCTCAGCACCACATAAAGCAAAAAGAAAAAAAGCCAGAAGTGGCACTGTGGCTCAAGTGGTAGAGTGCTAGCCTTGAGCTGAAGAGCTGAGGGACAGCGCCCAGGCCCAGAGTTCAGGCCTCACAACCAGACCCCCCCAAAAAAAGTGAGCAAGTGAGGGAGGAGTGTAGTTGTAGAGGTGGGAGGGAAGGGATGGTAGGGGAAAAACAAAGGAGGCAACAATGCTTGATAAGAAACGTACTCATTACCTTGCTCATGTAACTGTAACCCCTCTGTACAGAAGTTTCACAATAAAAAACTTATTAAAAATAAAAATAAAATAAAATAAATAAACAACTACTAGGGGCTCATGTCTGTAATCCTAGCTACTCAGAAGACTGAGATCAGAGGATCCTGGCAAGGTAGAAAAGCCCATGAAATTTTATTTAATTTTTATTTTTGCTGATCCTGGGGCTTGAACTCTGGGCCTGGGCACTGTCCCTGAGCTTCTTTTTACTCAAGGTTAACACTCTACCACTTGAACCACAGTGCCACCTCCGGCTTTTTCTGAGTAGTTTATTGGAGATAAGAGATTCACAGACTTCCTGCCCTGGCTGGCTTCCAACAGTGATCCTCAGATCCCAGCCTCCTGAGTAGCTAGGATAATAGGCATGAGCCACTAGCACGGGGCCCTGAGATTCTTTTTTTTCTTTTTTTTGCTGGTCATGGGGCTTGAACTCTGGGCATGAGTGCTGTCCTCAGCTCCTTAGCTCAAGGCAAGCGCTCTACCACTTGAGCTACAGTGACACTTCCGGTTTTCTGGTGGTTTATTGGAGATAAGAGTCTCACAGACTTTTCTGCCCCGGCTGGCTTTGAATCGTGACCCTCAGATCTCAGCCTCCTGAGTAGCTAGGATTACAGGCCTGAGCTACCGGCGCCCAGCTCCTGAGATTCTTATGTATAATTATCCAACAAGAAGCCAGAAATGGAGCTGTGGTACAAGGGGTAGAGCATCAGCCTTGAATGAAAAAGGCAAGCAAGATTACCAAACCTTGAGTTTAAGCATTATTACTGGTATAAATTTGTTTTTCTTCATGACATTCCTATTATAATTAATATAGAAATTTAAAGGAAATATTTTTTCTGAACTCTTCCAAGTTACTCATTTGACTCAAAGGGAAAAAAATCTAAAATGTTATTTATTTGTTTATTTATTTACTTACTTATTTTGCCAGGCCTGGGCCTTGAATTCTAGGACTGGGTCCTGTCCCTAAGCTCCTTTTGCTCAGGGCTAGCACTCTACCCATAGATCTACAGCACCACTTCTGTCTTTTTCTTTTTTTTTT